TCTCTACTTCATGGATGGTAAAGTTATGTTTCTCAGTACTTTTTGTACTAAACTCGATCAAGATGTTTAGATACACAACTGAAAAAGACACATAACATTTTCTCACCCTTTAATATCAACTCTATTTAAACCATTCCTGGTTTTGGTGAGTAATTATAACTGAAATGATTTCTGTTTGAAAAAATTAATCAAATTCAGAAGTGTTTATGTGCTTTTGCATTCCCTTCTGCAAGCTTCTAACAGACCTTCTAACAGACCTTCTGACAGACCTGGTGTAATTGGGCAAACTTATTTCTCAGGCATATTTACACTCATCAATTTTATATCCAAACTTTTACTCCCTGCTGGATGTTTTGAGATGTTGCTCTGCACAATGTTCTTTCCTCACGCTGTCATCCATTTTGTGAAGTGCACCAGTCCCTCTTGCAGCTGAACATCACCACATCATGATGCTGCCATCACCACACTGCACAGCTTGGCCTTTTTGCTTTTTTTGTTCACATGTTTGTGAACCTTTAACAATGGCCATGGTGTCCAAAAACTTGATTTACAGTTTCATTTGACTAAAGAACACGCTTACCATGCAAAACATCCTTGTTCCTGAATGCATGTGCAAACTTTAATAATTTTCTTTTATGTTGCTTGAAAGCCGGGCACACACTGTGCGACATTTTCAATCGTTGCACGCAGCTACAGGTAAAACTGTTCGACAAAACCGCAGGGTTTAAAAGTTCACGATGTATGTTCTCACACTGTGCGGCCCGATGCTCGTGTGCAACCTTATGATGGCCGACTGAATTTCAAACATTTTTGATTTCCTTCCGACCTTACGATTCCTGATCGGGAGGTGGTCATGAGAGGCTGATCGCCCCTTGTTACACCCTGTACACTACATGACGCATGACACACGATCCGGCTGAAAGTCAGCCTGATCAAAAAATTCTCACATGACTGGAGAATCAGCCCGAAAAGGACAAAAAATCGTATAGTGTATGCCCAGCTTTAGGAGTAATGGCTTCTTCTTCTCTGAGCGGTCTTTCAGCTCATATTGGTTCAGGACTTATTCATTGTGGATAATGAATATTTCTTTTCATTCTCAGAGCCACATTACAAAATATTTTGATTGACCTCTTGACACATGAATTTATATAAATGTATATAAATCTAAAAGATATTTTATTTTTATTTAAAAAACGAATTTAAATTTGTGAAAACATTTACAATGATAACATACATCGTTAGGGATCAGTTATATTGGAAACCAGAACCTGCCAAAGGTTCCTAGGTTCACAGCGAATGTGAAAAACTGGCACTGTTGATATCTTGGCTGTGTATGTAATACAAAGGGTCTGTTGCATATTTGCAACAATAGGTGCCATTTTTGGCACAATCTCTTGCAGGTGTTACATCTGATTTCCTTTAGATGATTCCACAGTGTTACACGAGAAAAGTGTTTAAACTCCATGTAGATAGAACAGGTCAAATCCTGGACCTTCTTGCTGTATGGCAACATACTAACTACTACTCCAACATCAAGCTTTCTTTCATATATATAGTTTTACATTTGCGCTTTTAGACCAATGCTCTATTCGTGGTAGAACCTGTGATGTTCTGGTGATCTCTGCTCTCATATCCTTTCATCACCTCCAGTGTTATAATTAGCCAGTGTTAAGGCAGCTGTATCTAATTATCAAAGTGATTTCTTATAATGAAAAATATCTATGCACATTTATGTCTCTTGATTACTTTGCTTATGCATTTCTATACTTTGTCCTTTAGTATATCTGACTCTTTAACAGTTACTGATGCTGTCCCACGGCTCCTTGTCAAGCAGTTGGACTTGGCTAACAATCCAGGAATTGTATTTTCTTCAGGTATATCTTATTCCCTGCTTGGTTTTCTCAAGAGGAGTCGTTTCGCCTCCATTCAGCTCCATTCAGCTCCCACATTTGCCAAGGTTACTGAGAAGTCTGAGATCCAGCTCCTTGCTGCACTTTCTCTCCCCTTGTCAGGCGTTCACAGTCGGATGTAAATATTTTTGCCTTGTCAGCTTTCTGGCTGCATTATATGCGCTGCATTGTTAGGCTAAAGATGTCAGCTGTTTAAAGGTTCCCTACTGTGGGGAGCTGAACTGACAGTGTGTTTATCCTGACAGCCTTCTGCCTTGGCTGTCAAATCAGAGGCATTAGGATAGTTTTTATCCTAAAACCCTATTAAAGAACTTATCTAGAGCCGGTCCTGCTGGCTGTAGTTTGCTGCAGTGGCCTTGCTCACTAAGCAAATTTGCACTATATGAACACACATTTACAGGTATCGCTTCTTTCATTGAAATATGTTCTTGTTATCAAAATTTGCCTTTTTGTTTGGGAGAACAACCCGCTAGCGCCTTTTTTTTTTTTAAGGAGCAGGATTTAATCAGATTCACAATCATTTAATATCAGTCAAAGGCCACTTCTATATTTTGATTTTATGTATGTTTTCCATGAATAACAAGTTTCTTCCAACTTTTGCAGATAAATGCATGATGTTGATATAATTTCTATGCAGCTGAATTAAGCTCAAATTATGTCTTTATTCAGTTAAATAAAGAGGAACCTCATCCAGGATTCACTAAGCACAGGCTTTTCTTTAATTTTTTTTTATCTAACATAATTAAAATGTTGAATTACCATTGATTTTCTTTTCTTACTGTTTAACACTTTCAGTATCAAAGTGGGTATTTCGTTTTTATCTTGTATTAAAGAGCCAGAATTTTAATACGGCAGTGAATAAACAGAAGCTTTATATAAATTTTTTAATGAATGACTGAAATCAGCTTTTTTCTTGTGGATGAATCCTTAGATTTAGTTCAAACATTTAAAAGAGGAAACAGATTAAAGAGTTACTAATAGAAATAGCTAATTTTAATGATCCATTGGTGTTTTTGTGTTTCTGTTTTATCATTTCCCTGTTTTTTAATGCTCTCTCTTGAGTTCCCATTTCATTTCCTTTTTTTTATTGCTGTCGTTCATTTACAGTTTCTTTATTTTGATTTTTGTTTGGGTTTGTTTTTACCTCTGATCAGTTATTTACTGCTATTAGTCATACTCCATCAGCTCACTGCTTTTATTCTACCCAGCTGTTCCTCTTTATGATCGACTTGCCTCGCCAGCAGCCTGTTTTCATCCTCCACCCTGCCTCTGTAATGAAGCTGTTGATCATTCCCTGCCAAACTCTTGCTTTCAGCTGCCATGTCCACCGGTTCTCCGTCACATCTGCCTGTTTCTCCATACATGCTTTATGTTCTGTTTTTGTTTTGTCACATCCTCTGGTGATTTCCCATTTTGGTCTGTCTAACAAATGTCTGCATTGTAGTCCTACTCTGTACAACCATCAAGATATATTTCTACCCAAAGATAATAAAAAGGGATACATTTACGACTTAAAACTAACAATGAAGACTCTTTATTATTGATGTGAGCATCTGAACCATACTAAATTATAAAAGTAGTTACTTTATTTAAAACTGAACGCTTGAACTACTTCCCTGATCTTTCCTGTGTTGGCTAGCATCCTGCTTGCTGTTAGTTTAACTTGTTTAATTTTTAAAGATACCTTTGAACAGAGCAAACTAATGTTTACTTAACATGCAATAAGCTACTTTTTTTTTTTTTATAAAAACACATTTATTTTTTGTATAGAAATTAGATAATTACAGCTAACATTAAAATGTTTTTGAAGTGTCTTCACTGTAGACAAATTATATAAAAAACTGCTTGAAAAGTGTAGAAAATGTGGATCTTCAGTTGTTGTTTTTTTTGTCTGGATTAATATAGATGAAAACGACTGAGTAAGTAATTTTCAACCTTCCTCTGTGCTCCATTGTTTTGTTTTTTTTTAGAAAGGAGTTTCTATTCTCTTTATGCAGTATTTTTGACTGCAGTAACAGAAAGACGGCCATATGTTTAATGCATATTTGCAACTCAAGCCAGCAGTATCAAGGGTTAGTAACATTGGTATCTACTACAATGGAAATTGCTAGAGTGGCTTAAGTGATGAATTATCATGTGTGTGTGAATGTTTTTATTTCTCATGGCTTTCTGGAAATGAAACATTAATGCTGTTTTTGGATTTCCAAAAGAAGCAATAAATTATCTGAGATTTTGCAGAATGTAATCCCAAACGTCACTACTTTCGATGTAATTTCTATAAGGAATGTTTTTATAAAATTATCCACGTAAACATAGGCTCTAAAATTCTGAGAGAACAGAAAAGTTAAGATTAAACTATTTGAACAAAGATCTAAAGTGGATAAAACCAAGAAAATGGCTCCGCTATTAATATGATTTCCACAACCTACCGGATTATGACGAATGATGTACTGTAGTACACAGGATTAACCTCAAAATTTGCAAATTTCTTCTTTTCAAAAATATTTTCTCACAAAAAAGTGTCCTTGTATCTGTATTAGAGGTGCAAATGCAGCAAAATATCTGTTTTAGTCGATTCAAAAATGGAGGGTCAATGGGAGGCTTGGTTATAAGCTGTTTTCTATTTTTGTCCTGTGCTTTCCTGAAAAAAAATAGCATTTCTAGGTATTTTCTTCTATCTATCTATGTCTAATCTTTGTTTTATGTTCACAGGTTAAGTATACAAGGTTTTAACACACTTTTTTAAGCTGATAGCAAACATTTAATGTTTTAATCTTGTTATGACTATTCAAAGAAAGTGTACAATTTGCTGCTGTGCAATGACTATTCAGGTTACATCTCTTTATGTTCTTATTTTTCTATTCTAAAGGTTGCCTGGCCATTTTGGATGGACGTTTCAGTCCTGTAGCAATAAAAAAATCAACACAGTGAAGTGGTTAGATTTTCCTTTGTTTTTGGATTGATACAGATCATCCAGTTGTTTCAACACTGTCTTAATTGAAGAATGGAATGAAATTCAAAATGGAAAACTAAAACTACATTGTATCTTACTTGCCATAAAAAAGTAATTCTATTTTATCTTGTTGTCAGATGAGCAGCAAACGCTCCAGCAGTTTCCGACGTGCCATCGCCAATGGGCGTCGCACCCTGCAGAGGGAAATCCTGCTGGACGAGACGGGCCTTGGGCTTTACAAGCGTTTTGTCCGTTATGTGGCCTACGAGATCCTGCCATGTGAGACGGACCGACGCTGGTACTTCCACCAAAACCGCCTTTGTCCTCCGCCCATCTTCATTGCAATTGTCACCATCGTTCAGGTTCGAGAAAACCCTTTGAGCCTCTTCTGTGATCAATTGATTTGTGATGGACGAAATGTACACACCTATAGGGCTAATTATTGCCCCTCTTTGGTGCAGACATGCTTATAGGACTCCTTGTTTTACTTGAGATACCTGCTATCAGTGGTACAAACCTCTGCAGCTCCGAGTTTTCCAAGAACACCTCTTTGAAAAGATTTATAGCTTCGAACCGAACTTCACATGAGCCGGTAACCCTATTGGGAGCCAGACTCTTAAAGTGCAGTTTATTGCTGCTCAATAAGTCCTTATGGACAATTTTTGAGGTGACCCACTTTGGATATCGGATTTTCTGTGAGTTTGCACTGTGGATACCGATTAAAAAATAACTGCTCTAATGTGGTCCATTTAGAAAACATTTAAAAGACTTGGAAATGGTGTTGGGTCACATCTGAAAGGTTGAACATTATGCAGTGAAACCAACCAATGCAATTTCCTCATTTCCTCTGAAACCATTAGAATTTTCAGGAGGGAAAGCCAAGTTGCCTTTGAATGTCTCTAAATGGAGCCGACGGGCCTGTAATGGCATGAGAATATAATTGTTCACATTCACTTTAATTTAGAGGGACAATGAGCCATTATTCTATGAGAAGAAATTAATGGAACTGATCCAGATGTGTCTTTTATTGCTGCAGGCAGTAATTGTCTCCACAAGTTTAATAAGCATCAAGTGAGGAATACAAAAACAGTCAGAAATGTCACATGTCTTTCAGAAAATATAATAGGGTTTTGTCTCGCAGGACCTTATTAACAAAGCTGGCATGAACGCTGTGTTGCAGATAATTGTGTTCATGTGCTATGGCATCATGCTCAACAAGTGGGTTCTGCAGACCTACCAGCCAGACTTCATGAAGAGCCCACTGGTCTACCATCCAGGTCACCGTGCACAAGTGTGGCGATTCTTCAGCTACATGTTTATGCATGTTGGGTATGTTAGCGTTTTCCTCTTTCTTTGACTGCTGACGACGAGGCTAAACAAGGGCAACAAAATCATCTTTAAACTTTCTTCTCTCTGCAGATTAGAGCAGCTGGGATTTAATGCTTTGCTGCAGCTGATGATCGGTGTTCCTTTAGAAATGGTCCATGGCATCTTACGGATAAGTTTACTCTACATGGCAGGAGTCCTGGCCGGTGAGTGTAATTCTGGTATAAAATCGTTCTGACATTTACATGCTTTAATGAGAAATAAGAGGGGAATTATCAAATGAATATTGTAAAGTTATATAAAGTTTGCTCATTTAGGTGACTTGCAGGCATGGGCGGTTCTAGACAGGGGCCAAGGGGGGCCAGGGCCCCTGCAGATCAAGTGCTGGCCCCTGTTATGGCCCCTGTGCTGAAGACATAATACTTAAAGAAATTCGAATGATGATCTGCGCTGAAACAGACATGG